CACTCAGGTAGCTAACGTCTGCTAAGGACTTCTCAATTATTTCAGGTAAAATTTTAACTCTATCCATTTATCCAAAAACATAACAAGCAAAACACTTGTGGAATTTCAGAGTAATATGACAGCAATGGAAGGTGGTTTAACAGAATCAGCATGAACTTTCATTTTCCCAGCATTTTGCTTATTTAAAAAAAATTAAAAATTAATCCACCTACTGACATATAACATATCTTGTACCGACAGTACAAGAATATGCACTGTATTTCTTGCATACTGTAAAATAAAAATGGCTCCACTTACCTTTGTTCTTCTTCATAATAAGGCCTCTTAGGGAACAGTGGAGAACAACACACATTTCAACCAGACCTTTTTCTGTAGAAATTCACCCACCTGCTCACTTTTTAAATGGAGAGTATTCTATTGGTCTTAAATAGTAGTGTTAAATCTAGATGCAAAATGTTCCTATGAGCAGTCCCTGCAACAGCAAGGAAAGCTGGAACACAATACAGCTGATCTAGTAAAAATGAGTAATTCTTATTCTGTCAAGAGTTGTCAAATGTGGAATGAAAAACTTCTTAAACATTAATACAATCTGAGCTTGTAGAAGTGATTAAGAGTGCTTTCCTTTTGAAAAAAAAAACCTGTTAAGTTGACAGTATTCACAGAACTGAATCACAGAACTACAGGATCATAGAATCACATTCCTCTTTATCAAACTGCTACATCAAGGGAACCTAAGATAATGCAGTAACAGAGTTAAACTATAATCAGGATGTGGATATTTGGTGTCCAGAAAGGTTGTGACACATATAGGCTATAAATCTATCTACTTACTTGATTACAAATCAAGTAAGTAGATAACAAAATCAGGCATCTTTCCAATCTTGCAATTGAAATTTTACCACAGCTGTCAATTTACAAATAAAGGGCAGTTTAAATATTAAATTATCATCTGAAAAAGAAAATCATAAAGCATGCTTCCAACACAACAGGGACAAAGAAATTTTGCAGGTAAATTGCCTCATACTGTTCCAGTTTACGTAAAGAATATTAGATATTCCCTATTCTTTTCATGTAAGGCAGACAGGAAAGCAAGAAAAAAGAAAACAAATCTCTCCAAATTCTTACATTCCAAGAAAGGACACTTTTTTTTCCTCTCTTAATTACAGAAAACTACATTCCTTTGGTTCCCTCCAGCTGGAACTATGTTATGTACATCAGTGGTTTGTGTGTTTCTCATAGGCCCATATCATACTGGCACTTAACACACTACTCAATTTAGTGAGTATGCACACTACTGCATTTATTTTAACTTCAGATGAGAAGTTCTTACTCTTTGGACAACAGTTTGCAATGCTATTTATCTTTACAACAGATTGAACATATACTCTTAAGAAAATTCAAATGGTTTTCTTAGATCCAGCAAAGAGATAAGAAATGTCCAATAAATGAAATACAGACTATGTGTAAGACACCTGATGTGCTTCCATATACTCATAAACACCCTTCCTAGAAATCTCTGATTGCAAATGCACTATAGTCAGAAGTAAATCCTAACCATACAACTATCTGAAAATATTTGCCAAATATAAAGAGTAACATTAAAACCAAACCTGGGATGACCTAATTTTAGTGCATTAGAGCAAAAATGTAAACAGAACTGAAGTTACTGATTAGTTACCTATTTGGTAATTTTCAGCTATTATATACTCTGAGAAGTTATCCTAGATGTTTTTCCAAATATTCAGGGATGTACTACCAGAAATAAAAGCAAAATATGCACAAGTATGCAAGATAAAGGGCTTTGTTCCATTTTGCCTTAGATAGCATCTAGCTCAAAACTACAAGTAGACTTAATCAGTTCTCTTTATGAAAAGCTATTTCACAAGAAAGCAAAAGCAAGATAAAATGTCTAGAAAATGAAAAATGGCCAGGAGAACTGAATTGACCTGAAGAAGCAATTACTGAATTATTTTGGTAGAGGAAAAAACACTAGTTAATTTTGGCTTGTAATCCATAACAACAATATCTACTTCCTCATTGACTGTGATATGAACAGCCCTTATCCTTTACAATGTAAAATGACCTCATTTAAATTAAATTGGTGCTGATAATTCTTGCCCAATGTTTTGTGCATAAATACATTTGTGTCCTATACTAAGGCACGTTTTTATGAAGAGATTCTGCTGTATTTCTGACTATTTTCTGTGGGAAGCCTAAAATGAAATACTACTCTTATACAAAGCAGGACTGAAAAGACTCCCAGAACCTTTGAAGAATGCACTTTCAGGAAGCTTTACAAAGTTTCTTTGTATCCCTCCATTCTGCTGTAATTGCCCTTGGACATAATGAATATTTCCTACTCTGCACAGTGGATCCATATGGTGACACAAATAATAATCCTGGTTGCTCCTGCTGTACCAAGTAAGGAAACTCTAAGACTTCTCTGTTGTTGTAGGATGCAGAACATCTCAAATGAATAGAAACAATTCACATACGTACTGAAACGAAGATGCTATAATTAAAACCTCCAAACCTTCCATTAACTTTGTCTCAAAAAGTCCTCACTGGATGTGTGAAAAGTTTGATTAAAAGGAGCACAAACCCAAGAAAAATTTCAACTTTTAAGGGAGCAACTAAAAAAATTGTAATTTGCAGAAGTGGAAATTTGCTTCCCCCACCCCGCTGTGCTATTCTCTTGTACTAGTTAGTGAGGAAGACCAAAAATGAATGGGCCCAATTCCATCTCCTATAACCTGCTTACAGCAAGAAGTTACAGCAGAAGTTGTTTAGTTTTGTATTGGTTGTAAAAATCACACTGGTAAAACAAACATGCCAACTCTTCAAACTCTTTCTTGGTTTGAAAAAAGGTATGAGACCATTTTAAAGAGTATGATATTTAAAGGCAAAAGATTAAGATTCCAACTTTAAGTTGAAAATCTATTTAGAAAAACTAAACATTTTGAATAAAACCTACCATTAAGAGGAAAATGAAATTTTTTCTGTGCTTATTAGCACAGAAGTTTCACTTTTGAAAAGCTAATAACTAAAATTTTCATGTGAATGGAAACTATACAGAAAAACAAGAAGCAATAAGAGATAGCACAAAATCAGCAAGTGACAGATCTTAAAGCAGCTGCTAGTCCTTCTTGAATCTTGACTGTGGTTGTTGATCAACTTTAAAGCTAAGGCATGCTATTTTCTGATAGTACATGGGGAGAATTAATATGCATTTGGTTCATGTACAGCCTTTGAGTTTACAAATTAAAGAGCACATAAAATTAATCATGAATCAGTTAAGAAGTCAAATATTTGACAAACATTTTAAACTTCTGTATAATTTTATTATTATTTCCATGCTGATCACACAAACAAAAAATTTAAGATTGTGCTAACAATAAAATGTATCAATACAGATAAGGATAAGCCAGCTCCTAAATATTTACTTTGAAAAATGTATTTACAGAACAACCAATGACAAATCACTGAAATGCAAATTGCTTTAAACCATTCAAGAAAAAAGCAATTAAATATTATGCCTAGTTTAAACACCTTTTCAAACCTATTTTAAATTCTGTTGAATTTTTTATTACTTTGCAGGGGACACTTTAATATTTTTAATTAAAATTTAATATAAAAATTGCTTTATAACTAAAAATACTCTTAAATAATTTATAAAATTGAATTTTTGTATAAACATATTTAATTCCAAGTTCTTTATCCTAAACCGGTTAAGATTATACACAATTTTTTTATATCTGTATAGCTTAATCTCCAGATATTCAGAAAATAAAAAATTACAACTATTCTTTGATAACACTGCCACCTAGTGCAAACTCTAAATCAGAACAAAGCATTTCCTTGCTCATTCTGTAATTTAGCCTAAGGTGGAACTATAATATGTACAAATTGTGGCTTTAGTACTACTTAACTGTACATTGGACTAATGACATCTGGAATGCCTATTAAATATGCTGCTACACTAATTTTGAAAATATACTGTAAAATACTGTTATATAATACATTCACATCACATTGGACTAATGACATCTGTTCTCTTACCTGGAATGCCTATTAAATATGCAGCTACACTAATTTTGAAAATATACTGTAAAATACTGTTATATAATACATTCACATCTAGCGTATACCAAAATGCTTTTGATAGCCAAAAGTAAGGGAATACAAAGCTAACATCCTAAAAAACAAACTAGTATGCTCCTAGAACTTTACATGAATGCAGACAATAAACTGAAATATTACTTGGTTAAATTTGATAGCTAAAAAGGAAAGGTAGAAAATATTTCAGTAAGTAAGTTACGACTGGAAAGAAGGAAGAAATTGAGAATTTCTAAGGTGGAAATGATATCCAAGAATCAAACTGATAGTAGAAAATCATCTTTACTTATACAGAATTGGTCAATACACACTTGACAAACCCAGAGGTCTTGAGAAAACACTGGATTTACTGAATTCCACTCACTTCTATAGCTATGCTGCCATCTAGTGAAACGGGATACTCACTCTTTTCTGCAAGGCTTCTATTTTGTCCAAATGGAAAACAGCAGGTGCATGTACCACAGCAAATACTGCCCACCTGTAAGTACCTTATTCCCTCTGCTGCTTCTTCACCACATTTTTGTAGCAATGTGTGCTACAATGTGACTAATTTTGGTCATGGGACAATCAACATTTTTACATCTAACGTGAAATGCAAAAAGGCTTATGGACTTCAGTGAGAAACCAAGGAACTGATCAGTACAGACCACAGTCCAGGATCAGGGAAAAGTTATCTATTAGCAGATTTCAGACAGTCAGACAGATAAAAGTACTGGATTCACAGCTAGTAATACAGATAAATATTACTCTGACCTTTGATTTAAATTACTTGTTGTGGTTGTTTTTTCATTTCATTTAATTAGAATTCTGACTTACAAAAAACATTTAAAACTTGGTGAATTCCAGACACTAAAAAGCAAATAAAAATGTAAGTACACACTCACCTGGGAAAATATATTTGCAGTTGGAGCAACTCTGTTGTCCACAATACTATATAATATTGCTAACAATCTGTCCAGAGGAAATGGCTTTGGCCCAAGTAGGTGATTGCTGGTCTGCAACAAACAACACTTTTTAATCCACTTCTTAATTCCCTGGAGTATTACATGATGTTATTCTTATTGTTTTGGCCTCTAGGGAGGCTCTATGATTCACAGTAGTCTTTCATACAGCCTACTTACACCTTATGGAAAACACTGAATATGTGTTTATTGATCAAGATATAGAAAGAAAGATCTATTTAACATGGCAAGTGTTCAAACTGAACAATAAACAGGAACATTTCTTAGCTGTAACAGAGGATCTCAGGCCAAATAACCTGTCAGTAGATTTATACATTTACTTGTGCTGTCTAATGACCTTGCCCCATTTAAGGAATAAAGAGGAAAGGCTATGTTTTATGGCATCCAAAGAACCACAGAATGGCTTGTGTTGGTAGGGAGCTTAAAGATTTCTTCTAAAGAAGGAGGACAAAACTGGACAGAGTATTCCAGAGGCAAGGCAAAGAGTGCTGAGTAACACTCACAGTGCACATACCTCCCACAGGTTCAGCTGGTTGAGACAAAGAGCTCAGATGGCTGAGCCCAAGGTCAGCTTCTTGGCTGCTAAGACCTGCTGTGCAATGAGCTACCAGCCCAGCTACAGGCACCTGTGTTATCAGAACACAGATTTGCTCAACCTCACAACTACAGAGCTCTTCTGCATCGTGCACACCTCACACCTCAGCTGACACTGATGACCATTTTAGGCATTATGGATTATTGTATGTAGTAACCTTGCATTCACTTGAATTCAAAGCAATACAAAGTCCTGATTGTTCAATGCTAAGCGTTTTCAAAATAACCAATTCTGCAAAAAGGAGATGTACAGGCAGAACTGGGCAGTATTCCAACTCAGGCAGTATAGTTAGGAGTACAGAGATTTACGACTCACACTTCCAAAAGTTCTTGCAAGGAAAATACTTGTTTTATTTTAAGTTTGCATTTAATTCTCTCCGCTTTGACATCCAGCTGCCTTTTTTGTAGTGTACATTGATTTATTCTTACTAGCAGAGCAGCTAAGATTAAATAGGATTTTCAAGGGAAAGTTTGTTTCAAAATGCTTCTGGGAAAGAACATCTCAAATATACCACCAGCACCTCTGTCACATTAGCCATCAGTAAAACACAACCACTCATTTCTTCAGCAAAATCAAAAGTATTTCCAATTCATGTTTTAACTTTTCAAATCCAGGAGGTGTCCCCAAAGCTACCTCTTGGCTAACAAAGCAAGCAGTGTGAAAAATCATGGAAACATATAGCCAAAAATAGATTCACCAAGAAGATCTCTCACTTGTCACTGGAAAAGCATCGTTCCAGGCCAACCATGCAAAGAAACCAAACAAATTCTGCTTTTATCAGCAACAGGGCAATTAATAGAATGGTAAGTCAGTTTCTTCTCATTCACAAGATTCATTTTTACTAGTAAAAAACCCCCGCAGCCTCTGGACTGACACAATTAAGAGTCACAAAATAGATTTTTAATCTTGCTATTCCTGAACTTTTAAGGAAGGATTAATTTCATCTAATGTCAGCTTCCTGCCAAGCAGGTACAGACAGCCAAACCAAATACAGCCAGTAGAAATCTAATCAATACAAGTTGTGGTGCAACTCATCTGCCTGAACACAGAGCCAAATCACAGCCTACACTCCAATGACTGCATCGACTGACTCTGTGTGGGCTATGAACTGCTTTAGATGCAGGCACCCACTAAGGTGAGGTGAACCTGATCTGTAGATCAGCCTTTAGACAAGCTTCTCTGGGCAAAGGTATATTGACACAAACTGTCACAGCCACTGAAGAAAATGAGTCTATTTATAACACTACATCTGCAATTGTTTATCCCTGTATTTCAATTTCTCTCATTATAGAAATATTTGTATAAAAATTCTTTAAAGAATATAAAATTATTTTTGAGAGAAATGCTGATACTTGGCAACTCCACTTACAATGTCCTTTAGCTTTATTAAACACACTTTGCTGTACACAAAAATATGGCTTTAGGAGAAAATTTTATATTATAGTTTTAATGAAATGAAAATGTCTGTATCTCGCAGAAATTTGTGGCAAACAAAACAAGTACAACAAAAATTGTTATTTCTGTAGTTCTGATGTTCTTACAATAATCAATGACACAAAATGAAATACAAACTCACAAGTACAGTGGAAAGAAAATACTTGCTGCCAAGCTCAGCTTAGAAGGATAAAATACATACCTTCTCATGCTTCTTCATGAAGTTGGTCTTTCTAATTTTCCCATGATGCTGCAAACAACAAACAAGAGCAAAGGTAATTAAAACAGTCAATAAAGCATGTATACACTACAAATGGCAGTGGCAGTATGTTACTCTAGGTCTACTTCTTTACTACACTTCCAGTATTTGCCTTTGATGCCACCACCAATCATTCTTACTATAAGCCCTAAAATTACACTTGCCTAGCTTCTTGCTCCGCCTTGTCCCAAGTGGTGCAAAAGCCAAAACACAACATGCTAATATTTTTTGGTGACATGCATACATTTTGGTTTTTAATCTACTCAGGAACTGATGAGGTAGTCAAAATTAGTTTGTAATATGACTTCATGCTACCATCCTCCTCGTATCATCAATCATCTAATAAAAAAAGACAGATGATGAATATCATAATTTTTAAAATGTATCCATGTATAAAATCCACCAGAATTTTCACCTTTTATTGATCCTGTTTTAGAATTTGGATGGTACAAATGTTGGCAGAATGACAACCAGGAATTTAATCAACACAACACGAAGGTAGTTCAAGGTTCTTGAGCTAAATGACAAAAGGAAGGAATATGGGAGAGTGAAGGGGTAGGGGTGGGTGTTGAAGAAAAGCAGCACATTTTTAAAATTGTCTTAAAAAAGGAAGAACTGTTGAAAGAAAATAGCCAAGTGCTCTTGGATCTCAACTAAAAATGTGAGGGCAAGACAAGGGCAGAAGTACAGTAAACAATGTTACAAATGAATGGATTTAAAAAAAGAAACAAAAAATCCAATAGAGACATGAAGGATGAGGTGTAAGTGATGTAAAATGAGTAAAGGTGTAATAATTTTAAAACATAGTTAAGTGCTATTTCTCAAAATATCACCTGATGAGTTTTTCCTTCTTCCACAGCCCTGAGAAGTATGCCTTATTAACATACCTTATAAGCATGCTCAATGAATCATGGGAAAAAACCTCAAATAAAGGAATTATTTTTTCATTTAAATGTTTAAAATCTTGTACTTAGTATTTGTGGTCCCCAATACTCAGCCATGTCAAAAATCATCTTAGTAAATGTGGCTTTTCTTGACTGACTTCTGCAGTGCTAAATAGACAGGGCTTAGGTTCAATTCACATGATTTGTCTGATTAAAAAAGAACAGCTAATTCAGCTAATACATATCAAACACAATTAGAGAGAGAGAGCAAAGCAATCATTTTATCATGTCTGTGAAAAAATGACTGCAGTGATAACCACGACCTTTCAGAGGGGAAAGTGATCTAGTCTGAGGTTACACAGCATGCTTCAGATGGATTACAACAAACTGCATTCATGCATTTTACAAGTTATGCTGGGATCTCCATATGATATATATAGTATCTTATTTCTGTTCAAGTACAAAATCCCATGAAATTCAGAGCTCATTTTCCATTAGCTTTTAATGCTTTTTTCTATGAAGACTTCCTATATACACATTCCTGTATACATACATATATATAATTATTTCTTGTTTTACAGACTTCCAAACCAGCTTTGTATTTTCCTCTCCATCTACTGTCAAGCTCTTACATTTTCACATAACCAATAGCAGTTGTGCCAATTATCACTTCCCTGCTCTGGCAGACTGCTAGCATTCCAGGCTGCTCCAAACTGTGACTTTACTTTTAGCTGTAGTATAGCCTAGCATCTATAGAGTAGGGCAGATGAGCAACTCAGTGACCACCCTTTTGTTTGCATTCCTTTTGCTTCTTTTAGTCCTTAGTTAAATCACTCCAGAAGATACTTTTCTGTGATCTATTCTGAATCTCATTACAAACCTGATAAAAATCATATTCTATTTCCACTGTTCACATGACTCACAAAAACACTCAGCTTGAAATCTTCTCAAAAGTGTTGATTTTGTTGGGCTTTGAGATGGTTTCTGAAGTTCAATTTTAGACCTGATGAAGGGCTAACTGATACCACATGACACACAGGAAAAATGGTGACTTCTGCTTCATGAGTTCTTGGAAAAAAATACCTGATAGCACTGGTAGAAATACCTTCCTGACCCCTGCTTCAGAAATCTTAGAAATTCACATTTATTGCACAAAAGTTTAACACAGTTCATGGAAACTCATGCAGAGATACTACAAAGGAGAAAGGAAGAAACCTAAGTTGAAAATGTTGTCCAGTGAACACAAGGAAGATGTGGCACATTTTGATAACATGCTTTACAGACTTGACTCTTGCATGCTCTACCATTTCTGTGTAGAAACATTTCTTCATCAAAAAAATCTCTACCAAAGAAAATGCTCCAGCCAAGTGCAAAGAAGGCTTGCCTATAAAGAAAATTTGCCTATCTACACTTACTACAAGTAACCCTTCACTCAGGAAAGGATTAAATAGAAGGGTGAAACACCTATAGCTTTCAGTAAGATCATACAGAGTTTAAACTGAAAACATACTAACATTTCATCACTAGAAACTGCAGTAACTTCTCAAAATGTGTATCTACGATTTTTTTTTTGAACATGGAGTAATATTTTACAAATTTGTCTTGCCCCTATTTTCTTTAATTGCTTACACCAAATGCCATACATCAATACATACTGTAATAGTTGGTAAAATGCATAGAAACCCAACTGCCTGATCACTTTTCTGATACCTGTCTTGCCACCTACATTTTGTCAAATAACTCAAAATGAGGCAATGAGGCAGACCTGAGGAGCCTGAAGATCCTGAGTCAGGAAGAGACATACAACAACAACCAATGGCACCACAGCACTTGTCTGCACTATGACCACAACTTAGCTCACAGAAAAAAAAAGAAGGAAAAAACCCATCAATATGTACATGGCAAGAACTAACAGAAAATTATGTTTAGCCCAGGAGTCGGTAATAGCAATTAACACATTCATCCTAAAACATGCCTTACCACCATTCCAACACAACACATACCAGCTAACGTAACCACACCTCCTGCAAAAGCAACTGCTTGTATGTTTCTATTTCAAAAATTTAGAACTCCATAAAAAACCTAACAGTGCACCAAGTCATTTTACCTCATTAAAGGCCAAGGCAGTTTTGGTTTGTACCTTACCCTGGAAATTTAAGTGTGGGTTATAACTAAGGATGCTGTGGTCACTGCACTAAAATATTTTCAGAACAAAGCTGTATCAACTTAGAAAAGCAAAGCACAGTGCTCATGCTATAACAGCTTTATGCATAATTTGACATGAACAAGAATTTGGGTTTATTAGACATTTAAATCACTCAGTGATCATTACCAATCACAGTCTGTGATCAACAGAAAAGCTGCTCACCAAATCAAATGAAGTGCACACAGAAACAGAGCTCAAAACAAATAGTTGAAGAGTTTTAAATCATGAAATTCAGAATGCAGGAATCCAGTCAACAACACTAAGACATGAATTTTGTTACCTTAAGAAAGAATCTCTTATCTGTCCTAACAGGATTGTAGGAGGCAAGGTAAGCAGCTATTAGAAGAAATTTGGAGTAATAAGGAAGTTCCACATGGGTATGTGCAGAAAGTCCTATAAAATAAACAAACAGTTCATGAGTTAACCAAAACCCAGCCTGAACATCCAGGAATTTCAAATTAAACTTCCCTGCATTCATTTTTTTTTCCTTCTCTCCTGTTCTAGTGCCATAGCTAAATGAGTATCACTTTCTCAGCCCCATTATCACAGATGCAAACTCAGGGAAGGGCCAAGAAGCATGACACAAAGCTAAACAAAGCTAACATTCTGAAACCTTTTCAGACTCTCAGCAACGTACTTGAAGCAACAGGGATTCACAAATCTCCCAGAAAAAAGACATAAATAATTCCAGGCTACTTTCATTTAAGGGAATTTTCCTGACAAACAAGGCAGATTAAGGGTTATATTTAAATACAACAACAATTTTTTTCAAGATTCAACCTTTAGACTCCTCTAGACCACCAAACAGCTTGTCCAGGAACAAGGCTGGCATGGTGAAGAAAGCAGCAGTGCTTCACTTCCGATAAATAGTTCATCTGTGATCAATGATTTTTAGCCACTGTTCTATTTCCTACAGAACACGTTTTAAAAATTTTAAACTTCAACCAGTTGACTCCGCCTCCTTGTATACATGTATACTTAATTAAGATTAAACACAGATATTAAAATCCACAAGAACTACAGTCTAGTGAATATCTGCTTCCCCTCTTTTTGAGGGGAACTCAAAGTACTTTTACTTTGTCATTTTTACCCTTACAGTCTCCTGCTCTTGTTTTACTTCCTATGCAAAGAACAGGATCATGAAACCACCACTTATCAGCTGGCTAACTACAGAAACCATTAAAGGGTCTCTCCTGTGCCCTCTTTGCTTATAGTTTTTACTTCAACAGTTTTTGTTCTGTGAAGCACCTGTACCCTTATGCTGCTTTAATCCACAAATATCAGCAAATAAAGATTAAATAATTAAACATGCTTAAAATTTATGATTCAGGGTCCACAGCATAGGGAAAAGCATCCTAGATGACTGCTAGTAATGATTTCCTCTCACATAAGCATAAAAGAACAGCAGTTTTAGTTTAATTTATAATTAAGGGATTCTCATCTATTGCATGCTATATAACATGCAACACCAAATAAACTCTTGCAGACAGACAATTTAGTTTAATACAAAAACATCTGGTTTTTCTCCATTCTTCTGGTCAGCCAGTATTGCAGCATACACTGAACTATTTGATGATTTACACCTTTATTGGAGTTAGAATCTTATTTACTAGAACAACTTCTTAAGCATATTACTATCAAAAGCTGTTTTAACATGTAATTAACATGTAGTTTTTTCCTACTACATACACTTATGAAAATGCATTTAAAATGAAGTCTCCCTTCATGGGGTTGTCAGGTGCAAAATATTTTATTATCATCCAGGAGAGAGTTTAATAAGGACACTTTGAATCAAACTCCTTTGGTAAAAAATGTTGAAAATTCACCAAGCATAAACCAAACATAGAAAACAGTCTGATGATTGCATTTATCTCAAGGAAATGTCGTGACAAATAATATAAAAAATGTTTCCTTATTACAGACTGATCAAAAGACTATGACCAACTGACATGACCAGGAAAATAATTCAGTATTCCTTCCTAAATTGTAAATGAAGGCTGACAAATATATTAAGATTCAACTTTCCAGCCTGTCTAAAGTATAAAACCAACAAAGCTCTACTTGTCACTTCTGACAGTTCTCTTTGCAAGAAAACTGAACCAGGACAGGTGTTTTGTTTAGGAATGTGCTAATTTCGGGCAATACACCAGGTACAACATTCTCTTCTCCCCACTTGGACAGCTCTGCCACTTGGCACACAGAGGTTTGACCATCAGGGTTCAGGCCATCCCTCACCCATTCTGACATAAGAAATACTGATGTGAAGAAGACTGCTTTTACCTGCAAAGAATATTAGGAAAGGTTACTCCCAATATATGTAATAAGGGAAAAATATTCCTTTGTAGAACACCTTCTCAAAAGACCTTAACTACTAACTGAATACTAACAGGCAGCTTTGTCTGTGTGGTTTCACTCACGTGCTCTCAGATGACAACGACCAAGTGGAACCAAAAAGCTCATTTCCCATTTAAGGCCCTACACAGTTACTGTGTTTGATACCTTTCAATTGCCCAGGCTCTCCACCATCATGCTGCAAACGCTCCCACTGTGAGCTGAAAGATAGACAATGCAAATACATAAAAATGTATTATTTGATAGCCTTTGAGAGAAAGCTACTTGCTTGGTATATTCTAATTTTATGACACTTGCTAGGATGCAGTTAGTGAGAGAATAATTAAAAATACACGGTCTTACTGTCTCACACATAAATTTTAATAATCTGCAGACCATGTATTTGATTAAAAAAAAGAAAAAAAATAATGTTAGATTAAGGCATAAAAGATCTAACTGTAAAATACCTATTTCCTCCCATCCAACTACTATGAGTAAGCAAACACCCAGAGTGTTCAAGTTTCAAGAATAATACAGAATTGCATAAAAAGTAAAAACACTGATAGTTTTGATATTTTTTTTAAGTAACAACTTTTTTTTTAACTAACATTTGCTTAATAACCGCTTATGTTTGTGAGAAGAATACTATAATTACTTCATAATGTAATTTTGAAGTCAATGGAAGTCATCAAGATCTAACATAACTTTTTTTTTAACTAACATCTGCTTAATAATCGCTTATGTTTGTGAGAAGAATACTACAATTACTTCATAATGTAATTTTGAAGTCAATGAAGTCATCAAGATGGATTATTCAGTCAGTGAAAAATGCCCCCAAGTAGTTTGGTGTTTTCCTAAACAATAGCAAAAAAATTCACTTAAAAACTTCCCTTAAGGAGTCACATTGCTAGAAATTTCATATTTGGATCATTATTTTTGTACACCACAAGGGGATTACAAAAAGATAGGCTTGTTGAAGGAACTATTTTGGCTTGTTTTTTAAAGTTCCTCATGAACAGAGTTTATCAGTCATAAGCCATAAAACTTATAAAAAATGTAATGGGAGTTCAAGTAATACTTAAAAGAGTTTATCAGTCATAAGCCTTATAAAAACTCATAAAACTTATAAAAAATGTAATGGGAGTTCAAGTAATACTTAAATTACAATGAATGGCAACCCATTGGTGAGTTAAGGTTTTATTCAATGCCTATCTTACAGACAGAAAAAAGGTTAATTTTCCTTTCAGCTGATAAAAAAAGTTCTGATAGCAAAGTTCTATCACTATAAATTACATAGCCAAGAAAAAACAGAGCAATCATAGTTCCGTGGCCAGAAAAACTGATATAGTGATTTTAATTCCTCAAGTTCTGGTACACAGAACTTGAGGACTGTTAGACAGAAAGCTGGAATTTCTAATAAAAATCAAGTCAAGCTCAAATTTATAATCAAAGAAAACTGTAGAGGGAAATTACTTATTTGGAAACAATTCACAAGCTAGTTTGTATCATAATCTTTTATTACAACCTAATTAGAGTAGGCAATTACACAATATAAAAAGTCAGGAAGATCCTGAGTAGACTGTGTAATGAAGATCAATATTGAATATAAATAAATATTTGAGCCAAACAGTAAAATGCTGCATGCTACAGTGAAGTCTAGCTTGAAAAAAAGCAAAATCAATTCTCTCTTTGAAGGAATGATCACATCTCTAGAACACTAGCAAAAGCTTCTACTGCACATTCAGGCTGTGACCAGAATACTCTATAGCCTCAGTGACATTGAAAGGAAAGAAATCAGTATGTTTTTACCAAGACAAACAAACCAAGCAATACTGAATGATCTCTCTTCACACAGTGTAACATCATCACTCATTTTAAAGATGGAGGGAACATTAAACCTAAGCCAATTATTACCACTGTGAATGAACACCACCATCCTTTTTTCTAGCAGTCTGGCAGCTTACAGACAAAATAAACAAGGAATCTAAAATAATACCAAGAACAATAGCCATTAATAAGAAACCACATTTTAATGCTATCAAAAATGGTAATTCCATGTAAGAAAAAATTTGGCCTTGGAAAAGTAAGTAAGGGATAAGAAAGCACAGTCAGCAAACAAACCTAGCTCACACAAAGCTAAGAAACACAGATCCTCAAAATCTGTCACGTCTCAAGAATTTTGAGGTTTGCACACATCCTTGGTACAGCAAGTATCTGGCGAGCTAACACACACAGCAGTGTGTTTTAAACTGTGTCTGTACATTCTGGTGATGGACTCCCATGCTTGGTAGTTTCATACATTACAGAAAATGCATCTAGTATCAGTGTAAAGGAGAACAAAACCTGCTGCCACTGCTTTACTTACTGAATCTATTATATGCTACAAATACCACTTTGTTTAAATCTCCTCCTGAGATATGCTATTTCTAACAGTGTATGGCAAGAAAGAAATGCGCATTAAAGAAAAAAGATTACATCTAGCAAAAAGGAAACGCTAGCCATGAAACACAGTGAGAGGAAGGTTGTTAACAACAGCAACCCCAACAAAGCAAACAAACCTATGCCCTCCAAATTACCTGGATATTTCCCGGAGATAAACAGTCTGCATTGCCTTCTTCAAATGAGGTTCAATATTTTTCCAGAGTTTGCGGGTGTCGCGTTCATTTGCTGCAGCAAGCCAGAATCAGCTCTGTTAAACATTTAACTCATACAACACTAAAACTCATCCCTAACACCTGAACAATCACAGGCATAACACAGTCGAACACCTTGACTCTGACATGCTGCTTTAGGATGATGCACCACCACCATCCACCCAGCAAGCACATGCTGCCACACAAGGCTGTTTCTCTGTGACTGTTCTGACGTTTCTCTCATCAGATCAACAAAACCCCTCCTCTTGGTTTCTTTCTTCTCTTAGCCTTGACAAAGAAATAACTTATCCCATTACTTTGTCAAAGTCCTCATAGTTGAGTGAGTAGAAAGATTTATAGGAAGCAGGAAAATTTTCAGGGTATTTCCATCTTTGTTTCCTAAAACACCATCAACCAAATACCACGTACTGCTTCTGCTGCAAGTGCTAATGACTGGGTGCAAGGGGAGCAGGCGCTGCTGTTGTGACCTGGGATACCACTGTGCCACCACACACAAGGATCAGGGCAAAGTCCTCACCAAAACCCACTGCACAGCACCTGCTCTCTCATACACCCCACAAATTAAAGACACAGCCTTACCTTCCCCTCTGACCACTGGCTCACAGTATTTAGCAAAATTGAGCGCCGCCTACAGAAAGCAAAAATGGAACATATTAAAGTACTAAATCTATCTGATCCAGCTACAGAGTATAACTAGCAGGGCAATTAATTCCTTTGCAAAGCCAACAAACCCTTTTGAGTCAATAATTATGCTACTTGCTTACAAACAGTATACTGTCACAAATGGCAACATTTCTGTACTATAAAATAAAAACCGAAGTAATCTATCACAGGTTGCATGGCTTTGAGCTCAGCAAGATCTGTTTATCATACTCTGAGATTGCATTTTTTTTAACTAACATAATAATTTATCATTATAAATGCAATAAAAATATTTTAATGAACTTTTCTTACTCCCTTCATTTTCAAATAAAACTTTCCATTCCAGAAGAAGTTCAGCACACTTAAACACAAGCAGAAATTATTTATTTTTTCAAAAGTTATTTATTTAAAAAACACGCTAGCATATTCCATATGCAAATGAACTCCTTTTGCCTAAAGTAAGATTAAAAGATTTTTGACAACACTATAATCTAGATTTTCTTGTAAATATTTCAATCAATATCACACAGAATTTTGTAAAATACCAATCCTCAGATTTCATTCTCTTTTTGTCCTACTGCACTTTCATAAATCCCTGTGCTAATATACAAAACTCAAAAGTGTAACTTCCATATATAAAGCTAACAAAATTCCAGAATGTATTATTAATAATCACACATAACAGCATACACATTTAGAGTCTGTATTAGACACTAAGGAGCTCAGAAGCCTGCATTCAGTCACATGTGTCACTATCTTCTATAGAAGAGACCTGTCAACCACAAAGAATTTAGGGTCCAATCACATAAGTATTTTCATAGTGTTGCACAAGCATACAGTGCATCTAAACCTAATGAAATTCTCATAAGCAGAGCCACTCAAATACATGTCGGCAAGAACTGTGACCCTGGTTTCTATTTCTGTCTCCAGCAATCTCATTTACATATAAAACCTGTATGTTAACAGATAAGTTCAGCTGAAATTTAGCAGCATGTTCCTGAGGGAAACACGGGCAGAACATTCAGATCATCTCTCGAGCACTGATTTCTTCACTGATCACATCACACTTGTAAAATTTCCTTTTACAGGTAAGTAAATAACAACTGGATTAAGATAATGTTTGTAATGGTTATTAAGCTTATACAAATGTCACCATCAAGTAATTTAATTGTGTTAAATTTACTATTACATTATGTGGTTAAAACGCCTTTTTCCAAATACTTTCCATTTATTACCATAAACTACACAACACTGGAAGCCCTTTACAGCCACAAAACAACTGCAACATTTGTTATGGATTTTAAAGGCAACTACAATTCAAGCTAACACATTCTCAGGAGGGCAAATTTACACTAAATATAAGAAAGACTTTTTTACTACCAAGGTGGTGAGACACTGAAACAGGCTGCCAGAGAAGCTGTGGATGCCCCATCCCCAGAAGTTTTGAAGGCCAGGCTGGATGAGGCTTTGATCAACCTGGTCTAGTAGAAGATATCCCTGCCCATGGCAGGGTAGTTGCAACTTGACCTTTAAGGTCCCTTCCAACCTAAACCATGCTATAATCTGTAATTTTCCCTTTGTCCATATTCAACAATAAATCTAGACTTTAATTTGGCAAAAGACATCCCAAAACAAAACAACAACTCTAAAGAAGCTCATCTCACCAGATGCCGAAGTTCTTTCAGGTCCCTACAGACCATGTAGAAGACACCAAGCAAAATATTGATATATGCAGCATAGAAATCTGCAGAATATTCTGGGGGATGATTCTGAGACAAGATCTTCTGCAGATGTCCTGTTTAAACAAAAATAAATTTTGCTATTTTCAAGCCAACTTAAAAACTGACCACGTTTGTGGAAAAACAAACAATAACCATCACTAAAAAAACCCCAACAAAATCCACCAAAACCTACATTGATTTGAAGAACCAGCAAATGTAATGGAATCAAAACATCACTTTGAGATGTTCTGGCAAGTGGAAAAAGACAAGACCTTTACAGGTTGTGTGAATATAGACTTTTACATTCCAGTAGCTATTACATATTCTGGGTTCTGCAAAAGGCACACTGATAAACCTTGAAAAAACTTTTGACAGTGTTATATAAACCCTGAAAAGCAGATTAAAAAATTAGTTTACCTATGCTGTAATCTGGAAAATACATGGTGAATGGCTCAAAGCACCCAATGCTTGGACGGAACAGTTCCCACACGATTTCACTGAGCAGAACAACTGTCACATTTCTGTCAGTCTACACAGGGAAGAGAAAAAACTGAATGAGAGAGTGACAGGCAGAGAGATAACAAAAAAACAGTGCATGTCAGAGCATCAATGAGAAAAATTATTATTGTGACTTTTCTGTTTCATAAAAAATCATTAAATTTACAGTTTATTTCTATACTATTAATTTGCATTAAAGCTTCAGCTGGCCTAATCAAGCAGATCATACAGTTGCAAATCTTTATAAATATATGATATCTCTCCAACCCCTGCCATTTCACTGACATGTAAGCTTTCTGGGCTGAGACACTACCAAGTAAATTCCACCCCAAACTTAAGAGAACATTTTACTTAAACACAGATTTTCAGAGCAAACAGAAGTAGTTAAAAAGCAAAAAGAAAGCTTGGTTCCAGAGGTGCTGGGTTATCTTGTACTTTACTGAAAAGGCAATCTGGTCTTTAAAGACAAACACATAGACATCCCAAAAGAAAAATATAATATTACCTGTTTACTCTCCCAACTGTTTTACTAGTTAACAACAATGGAGCTGTTCACAGTAATGTATTTTTGTAACCGAGTTTTTATTGACAAAACACCTGCTTCAGATGGGATGTTTTGATCAATAAGTAACAAAATGCTTCATATTAAAATAGAATTGTGTTATTTTGGTCACCCTTTAAAATATTATCTACTTAATACAAAGCTAAAGCTAACTGTGAACATGATGCATCATTTTCCCTCTTTGCAAAGTTTCTGCAACCATACCAAAAATTCTGCCTAACAAAAGATGCTTTTAAATATGGTTCTTCAAGAAAGACATTTGAAAACTATTAAGGCACCTCCATAAAACAAAAGGAAGGGACCTGATCGAATTGACAGTGCTGTGAATGACTTGAAAAGACAACTAAATGCTATTCCCTTCCCTGAAATGCAGTGAAAATCTTTTTTTTACTTACTTTTCCACTTCTTGGTGAAGTGGCACCCACCCATATTCTTTACTGTTCCTTGTTTTTATGGAACATAAATATTTTCTTTGCTTCCAACAAGAAAGTATCTTTCTGCATTTCTTTCAGTTGGTTTCCTCTCCCAGAACTCCTAATGTTTCAGCTGACAGAAGTACTAAGTTATGTTCAGTGCACTTTCTGACTGATCATTCAGCATGAAGAACTTCAGTACTTGCCACCACAATCCTCAGAGAAATCAAGCATCCATGACCTATTCTTCAGCAGCAGCCCGCCAGTGCCATCATACCCTTCACTACTACTGGTGGCTTTCCTGGTCTCCTTTCACTCCAGGAAAGGAAGAGATGCAAGAGATTTGCTCCTACAACATTGCTCTGCAACACTGGCTGCACAACTGTTTTAGAAAGCCTCAGTGCAGAATCTAAGCAACTGGAATATCAGCATTCAAGATAACAGACTTGTTTGGAGGTTAGTTTTGAATCTGGGAGTGTTCCTCTGGCATATACAAGTCTTAATCTATGGGGTTTTGATCCCTGAACAGCAATTACAGACCCAAGTTTGCCTCCCCTCCCTGCAGAACAGGTTGTTTCTGCTTCAGGGGCAGCCTAGTCCAGAACATGGGCAGAGCAGACAAAAAAAGAGAGAAAATGCACCAGCTGTCAGGATTAAGAACACAGCTGTGAATCAGTCTTCATTCAGTAGAGAAATCAATGTGACCAGAAGATTAAGAGCACCACACAAAAGCTTTGAGATAACAAGCATAATTTCAGCTATTTACATGTTCAGATATTTCAAAGTACCAGCAACTTATGGTTTTGTTTTCAGTTTCTTTTCAGGGAATGTACCATTTTTGCTTATTTCAAGGCAAAAGCTTTGATGCTTCAGAAGTGAGAAAGGAAATCACACTGTGGTATACTCCAATCAGAAACTTACTGAGGCACAGTTCCAGGAGAAGTGTGAGAAAACTCTCTAGCAAGTCAAAGCACATTCACAGCTGCTGAGCTGTGCAGCTCCAGCCAAATTAGACAGCTGGTAGTCTCCTGAAAACCCCATTCTTAAAAAGACAACCTAGAAAAGAGAGCTACATATCTGACATGAGCCTCCAAAGATTCTACACATCAGACACTGTAAATGAGATACCATTAACCACAACTTATCTGTCTAATAAAAATCTCCCAATATTTAAATTCTAGTTTGGTTTCTAGTTTTGACCACTGTTCTGGGGGACTGAGGCTTAATTTTGCAACTTTTCTCACCTAAAGAATCACTTATCTTTATCTGTGAGCCTGGATGTACAGGTACCACATGTTCAGTTACTTTCAACAGGCAGGACACATATGATAATTTCTTTCCAGACACTCACCAACTCTTGAAGCCTAAGAAATGCTGGCAGGATGTTTGCTTCCATTTCCCTCAGCTGTTCTGCTCTATCCAGAACCTTTTAACAAAACAATGATATTATATAAACAAACTCAACTCCCACTCTCACATGGATTTAAAATTAATTCTTAGCTGCTGGAAACTGAATTGGAGAGATTACTGCTTCAAATGTGCTCCCAGGAAGCCCAAGCAGCTCTGCATCTAAAAAAGCATACAATCCCTAGACATGCACTATTCTCTTATGGTAGGAAAATTATTATTTAAGTCCAGTCAGGACTATCACAACAAAGCCACAATATCCTTAACAACCACTGAAAACTCCATTTTCTCCAAAAATTCTTATGTTTCAAATTTACATGTAGTACAGTGGCACTGTAACTACATGCTTACTCTAGAAGAGTTGCCTTTTCCTACTATTATTTTTCAGAAACAAATAATAGCTGGTATTCTGAATTTTGAGAGAAACTGCTCTTGCCATTATTTGCAGCCTAGGAATTTACAGGATTTATTGTATGCAAACTTCACACAGCAGTAACAGAGGTAGCATATGTACAGCTTAAACGAGAAACATCTTAAGCAAATAACATTTTGGAGTCTGAAGAAAAAAAACAGAAGCATGAAGACATCCATTGTTACTCTTTGGTAAAAAAAAAAAAAGTGCATTTCCAGCACACCTAAAATCTTGACAAGAATGAAAAAAGAGCATAGAAACACATTTCTTTTATGGCTTATTTACTACTTGCAATATAAATATATTTTCTGAAGCTCGTTACTTCTTTGGAATTTTTGCTCTTGAGATAAAAACTATAGGCCCACAGAAAACTATATTTTCTGTCCTATTACATATCTTCTCTCCATCAAAATCTTACATCATCTATCATTTCTGCTGTCCTCAATAAGGTAAAGAACTTTATGTGGACAGCCAAACATTTTCTGAAAATATTATTTCAGAATCCCACCACACAAATCTGAAAAAACTATCTCTGCATCAATATCTCAGACTTTGTGAATTTATTAAAAACTACCATATATGATTTCATATTGATATCTGCATTTGGTTCATGTAATAAGTGACTTCAGGAATGAAGACTGCTTTACACTACAGACCAAAGAGTGGCTATGCATTTTTACTAATAAAATACTGCTTATTGGACCCAGTGACATGCAGCTACCAAACACAAAGCTTTAAGGTCTTGACCTAAGCATATCACATTTTTAGTTAAATGGGAAACTACAGTTCCTACTTACAGCATAAAAAATACACTGTGACCCTGGCTTGTGGAAAATGTCAAGTGGTTCATAGCAACAGCCATCCCCCAGGTCTATAAATCTAAGCCTTATTTCTTGGTGTCCATATAGACTTGTCACTCTTCAATTTTTTTAAAAGGCCTATACTTTCTAAAACTGGCTGCTCACTTACATTAAAAAAATTAGCTTGATACTTCTGTATCAAGCTAATAAAGTGCTACATATTGTAAATGTAGGAATGACAACAAGTTACATCTACTCCAGTTTTTCAGGTAGTTAAAACGAATAAATTCATTTTTCATAAGTAATCACAAGCATTCAGCACCTATGCTTGGGTTAAGAGAAACATTTAGAATCCTTTGCTCGAAAGTAAACATTTATCTTGATTTACTCTGAGTTAATTGAGCTGAAATATTACATTATTTACTACTGAAATGAAATGGAATAAGTCAGCATTGCCAGTTTACGTTACCAGCATGCTGGTCTTCCATCAGTCTCAATTTAACCACTCTACAATAAATCCAGATGACATAGGTTAATAAACACGAATTGATTTCTCCCATTCCTGCCTGTTCCCATGCAGAATGTAACTGAAATACTAATTTAATACCTAATTCTTCCAAGGCAACAACTATTTTCATGATACAATTGAACCTTTTTAGTTATTTAATGCTTTACTTTCTACAACCATTGTTCAAGAACTTTCTAATTTTCTGTGTGATGCCAATTTTCAAAGAATACATCAAGAATTCTTTACTGATGCAAAATAGTTTTTAATCCAAATACTAATCTGAAACAAAGACTTTACTGCAAGAAGTATTATGTGAAATACACTGAATGTTATTAGAGAGATAAATTTTGTGCTTATGGAAATGCTGAAGAATGTCAATATCACTTTTGTGACAGTAAGCTAAACTACTTCTATTTATAACTTTTTATCTGTTTTAAGTGTTGGCACATTATTTTCTTCATTCCACGTCTAAGAAGCATATCAAATTTATTAACCTTGTGACCTATTGGAAACAATGAGATAGTACTGTTTCCATTAAACATGATACGAAGTTATTTAACTCAGTGGCAAAGTATTTTTAAATGGGAATAAAACATATTTAACTATAGCCTGTGAAACAGAATGAAGAATGTTCAGTATAATTATGAACTTCTTGTTTGACTGCAAAAAAACCCTAAAGCAGTATGGGCACATTGAAAGCTTAATGACCCTGGGTAATCACACTGCATGTTTCTCACAGCAATCAATCTTAACCATGTTCTTGTTTTCTTAAATAATCAATTTCAACTCTTTAAAAAAAAAAAAAACTAAATTCTTACTGCTGGCCTAAAATTTTGGTCTTTTAAAAAAAAACTAAATTCTTACTGCTGGCCTAAAATTTTGGTGTGAATATTCTGCAGGTTCACACTATATATATATACACACATTTACACATCACTAATGCTACAGCTTTCATATTGTCCTTCCATCACACCTCTTGTATGACTGCAATTTGTTTCCATGTTCATCTCTCAGCATACTAAATGCTGTTATAGTCTGCAAATTTTGACTCCTTTATGTAGTTAAGATTATCACAGTAAAAAAACCTGAAGACCTAAACCAAATCAGTATTACCTTGATTCAATCGTTCCAGCAACCTAAATTCTGATTATTTTTCCTGCAATCTGCTATTCATTCCACTTGAGCATACCACCAATTTTTTCACTGCAGTCTTTTTTTTTTTCCCATCTTAATTTTAAAACTATAGGTCCTATCTCTGAGGGCCACAAGTGCAGCTGAAGATGTAAGATCTAAAAAGCATTTTTACAGAGGAAGTTATGCATTTTAGTTCCTTAATATTATCCTTAAGTTCTATTCCAGCAAACCAAGCCTTGTCATTTGCATTGTCCATGTTCCTTTCTGCCCTGGTCCCCACCTCTGCTTTCTCATTTGTGATGCTATTTTCACAAGGAAACAGACAAGCATTACTTAACTACTAATAAAACAAATATAGGCGCTCCATATTTAAAGACTTTGCAACACTATTACACCCCCAATTTAAATGTGTGATACAATTTATGTTCATTATTAGTTTTGCTATACAATTTGTGTGCAGGAAAAAATCTAAAATCAGGAAGAACACAGAACCTCACCTAAAGCCTGTAAGCCAACAGAAAGAATCTGTCAACAGGTTCTGGAAGAGGTCTACTGAGAAATTGAGTGCAAACTGCTCTATAAGGCACACATTTCACATACAAATTATCAACAGCCATTACTCACACCCTTTTAGCAGGAATGGGACTGGACATGAAAATGAAATTACTTACAATGTACAATGTTTGATCTTGAAGCTCCCGACTGGCCACAGCTTGTTTAAAGAGACGAACAAAGTCATTCAAAGTATCACAGTGCACAGGAGAGGTCTGCTCTGCACCAGAGGAACTGCTTTGCAGCTGGATGAGAATTTCTTCTAGCAGAAGTCGTGATGTGAAGTATTCCACACAGTTCACAAACACATGAGGAAGCTGAAGAGAACAAGAAAAATTATACAACTGCTTGGCTTTTTCAGTGTAAATACTCCAGAAAGAGTTCTCTTCCATATGAGAGAACCAAAGAAACCATACCCTGCCAACAGAATATAGTGCAAACAAGTACCAAAATAACTTGTTAAAAAAAAAGGTCAATTATGTACCTAGTCAAAATATTATGTATCACAAACTGAAGAAACAGCTGATGAATCTTCAAATGGAAGTATACCTTCTAACTATGTTTAAACACTGAAGCACAATGTATCCTTTAACTATGTTGAAAAATTGTCAGCAATACACAAAGAGAAAACCAAATAGCATTTAGCACAAAGACATTTAGACAACTATAAGACATTACAGTATCATAAAATGGTTTATTATGAATTACAGTGTCTAGAAAACACAGACATCTCAAAGAAAGTAATCTCCCCAGCACACTCCACAGAACTACTGTGAACATTTTTGGCATTCAATGCATACAAATGATAAAGTGTAAGTTTCTGTAACAAACTCATGTCATCAGCATGATTGTGCAGAACATTTTCAGAAAAGCAGATCTTTCCAAGCAAACAGTGAGTGAAAAAAACAGAGTATGAGATAAGTATCAATTTAGTAATATTGAAAATCTACAGTCATTTGTCTTTAAATAGAAGGCACTATAACCCATAAAATAATACCAGTAGTCAAACCTACCTAAGGCAAAAAAAGATCCTTTTCTAGCAACTCTATTTTTAAGACATAGCTTATCTGCACGACTCCATAATCTCTGGTAAGGCATATGCTCTTTTTCACACTGAACGTTAAAACCTCTGGAAAACATTAGTCACTGGGATGCAGGAATGTGCTTGTCTATAACAAAAAAAAAAAATCCAAGTACTTCATTCCAATCTTCCTACTGAAAATACAATATGATTCAGCAGATGTGGGGAAGTGTGGGTAATGCTGGCAATTCACTCACCCAGCATGTAATAAAAAGCTTTCCTATGATTTTGAACACCATTAAAAGGAAAGGGCTACATCACCAAAAAAGCAGCAATTCAAAGTGCTGCACCTCCATAGCAGAAGGAAAGCTGGGTGCCTCAGATGTGATTCACACCAGCACAGGCCACAGGAGACACCCACACACGGCACAAGAAGCTCTGCAGAGAGAGGAGAGAGCTGCTGCCCAAACCAGCCGCTGCCCAGGGCCTGGCATCTTCAGCTGTGGTGTGAGAGGGCAGCTCAGGGCTGTGAGCTACTGTGAAGGCTACTTCATGGAACAGGATCACAAACCCCTGCCTTCTACTCCTCTCCCTCTGCAGAGCTTTTAATGAAGGGGGTTTCTGCATAAAACCTGCAGATGAAGTGATAAGCTCACTCTGGACAAGCTGAAAGTATCAGAGCTATGGAAACACACAAGTGGAAATTTATGGTTTAGGCATGAAGTGAGCACTTGTCATTGGATTTAAATCCCTGAATTTCAGGACTGACAAAGACAGAGGTATTAACAGATCTAGATGGAAATTTCTGCAATGACACCCTTCAACTTAGGACAACTTTAAAGCATGTTTTGGAAAAAATTAAAACATGGAGTCAATGGAGCTACTTCAGGCTAAGTAATGGAGACAAGGTGAACAATATTTGCCTCCTTTTTTATCTCTTTTAAACTTTCTTTAAAAAGCTATTATGATTTATATTATATCTCAGTATGCACAATTTCATTTTTTCCTAAGTGCCATAGTGAGTGATGCATTCATGACACAGTAAGTGGAGGAGAAGAATCAGGAAGGCAGAAATGGCTGAGGAAACAAACCCCTTTGAAAAAGCAGAGGCTATTTTGAGGAACCATGGTTAGGAACTGCAAATTCAACATCCATTGTGACCATTCTTACCTGCAAGGTAGTTAGAAGAGTTTTCATCACGTAAGTTTTTCCACTAGATGTATGTCCATAGATGAAGATGGATGGAAAACTAAACTGCTGACGCTAAGGGGAAAAAAAAACAAAGTTGTTGTTTAAATTCTTCTTCTTTTCATTCAACAGATAAAAGATTTAACAATGAACTTTCCACCTGAAAGAAAAGTTATCTCCTAAATTGAGGCATTAAATATAAAATACAGCAATTATTACAGAATCAGCAAGATAAAGGATTATGTTAGATCTTTACTGAAATGCTGGGGGTAAGTTGCAAGAATCAAGTATCACATAACTGCCAGTTATGAGATAAAAACTGCTCGAACAAACAACAAAAACACACACACAGTGGGCTCTTAATTCAAAATAGTTAACTAACTGAAACAAAACCCTGGCAAGCACAAATTGCAAGCCTTACATTGCCCTAGCTTCTGCAAATACTACAAACTGCCTTTCTTTTCATTAGGACCAAAGAGAAAAGAATTAAATGGTGTGATGGAGGAGATGGTAAAGCTTGCTCTTCTTTCACAAGGTAATATTTGATGTATCTATTTATTTAAGGGTCCTGATGCTTTTCACACAGGTGATTATGAAAACACAGATTTTTTGTTTTAATTTCTAAGAATATAAATAAATTGACTTAAAAATGAATACAAAAATAAAATTGACACTTTTTATGAAAAACAATAGTCAATTTATCCAAGATGAAACACTCTTGTGCAAGACATGTAGAAAATTGAGTATCTGTACATTGATCAAGAATTGAAGTATCTATTTTTAAGAAGTTGTTGCCACTATGCTTGCAACACACATAAAACTTGAATACTGTAATTTGATGTTACTATTACTAGTATCCATAACTAAAGACAGAAAACAGATAGTAATTTCCAGTTAGTTATTGAATGTAAGCAGACATTCTGCAAGCAAACTGCTTACAAGTTTGCAGATAAAAATCCCCACTACTTTTTACCACAGCTTTGTGAAGCAGTAACAGAATCATTTAACAAGCCAGTGGTTTCTAACTCTTAAGAATAGCCTCAAAACTACTAAGAATCAGAACAATTTAATGTACTTAGAATTCAGACACTCAGATATTAGATTAACAGGTCAAAACCAAACAGAGTTTCTACACTGACACTGAAATAAATTACCCCATAACTTCAGGTCTAGGAGGAAGAGACTTGCTCCCTGGTACTAACTGGCAAAGACAGAATAGAGCTAGGGCAAAATCAGAATTCAGGGAGACAAAGACACAAACAGCTGTAAGTTTATTTAGGTCCTTCCAGCTCCAAGACATCTTTCAACCTCCCAACATACCAGAAGCTACTGCCAAACACTAATGTTAAAGATGGCAACAAAAGCATGTTCACAAAAACACCCTTAAATTTCTGTTCTCCCCCTGAGACAGCAGAAGGCCTTTGCTCTAGTCAAACACAGAAGACAAGAGCACTACCTCGCCAAATATTGACAGCAACGTGGACACCTGGGATTCTCGACAAGGCACCAAACTCTCCAAGCGAAGCAGGGCAGCTGCTGGGTACGCTGGATGTTCGAGATTCGGCATTTTGATGTTCCTGTGGCTAGTCACCTAAACATGCATGTCCCTTCTCAGGTGAGGAGACAAGAAATAGAGTGATCTGGAAAACAAAATGTTCTCATTATCATTTCCTTCTGTACACATAAAAGGAAGGGGAATTGACAGAAAACCTAAACAGACATTCTAGCACAAGATAAGGGTGTAAGTATGATAAACTTTAAAGACTTGGGTAAAATTGCACTTAACTATGTAATTCATTCTACAGACATTTCCACACCAGACAAAATCCAAAAAAGCAAATCAAAATTGAAAGGTATACATGACATGAACAAATCAATACAAGAATTATCCTGGTTTAGTTAACTGAGAAATTGCAAATTCTAGGTTTATATACAGTTAGAAATAGCAAGAGAATATGTGTAAGTAAAGTAGATTAGTCACAGATCATCACCTTCCTGAACAGTCAATAAACAAGGATTCACAAGCAACAGGAAAGAGGTAGGACACAGGGAAAGATAAGGATGACAAAGTAATAGAGCTCTTGCTTCTAACAGGAATGCTAACCCCATCTTGAAAGGAGCACAGGCATATGAAAAAAATTCACTTGATGGTAAAGACTGGAAATACTCCTTAAAAACAGTAGGAGTCCAAAGCAGGTACATAGAACTAATCTCAATGCCAATCTACCTTTTAGACAAGGACTAGATAAGGAAAAACAAAAGTCTTGATTGCTGTAACACTGGGAAGGCTGGGTTTTAGTGACAGAGTACAGAAAAACACCTCAAAGATATTCTTTGTCTGCACTTCTAAAAGTGATGGAAAGATGGGACTTTTACCTGTTGTGTTGCAGATAATGTGCAGAGAGAACCGAAATGACCCCAACAGCTGGATTCTGACTTTGTCAAACGCAACATGACAACCAAAAAGAAAATTTGGAAGTTTCATTAAGGCAATAAAGATACAGATAATCCTGTCAGTTGGTGAGGTATGTTATAATGACAAAGATAATAAAGCACTCCCAACTGTTTTAAATGTAAGTATTTACAGACAAATGCATTTTGCTGGTTATAAGTACAACAGCACAGGAAAAAAAGATTAGGTTAGCAGAAGGAAATCAGAAATAGCAAGGTAAAGGGAAAGCAAACTGTTCCAAAGGAAAAATGCAGTAGTGGATTGCACTAACAAGAGAGCTACTGGGGTACAAGGAGGTTTGCAGATATAAATGTATTTATGGAAATACCTTAAAATAAAGTTCGTTTTGGGACCAATCTCTGGTAAGCATTTCCATAAATAGACTTGAGAAAATATTGTTTCTTTTATTTTTACACTACGCCTTTGGAATTTTCTAAGGTAAAAGCTGGGATTGTAGAATCAACAGAAAAACAAGTGGAATTCAAGAGGAAAAAAAAGAATATCCCTGATGACGTAAGTAACACGGTACTTGAATTACACCTTCTTGAAAGTAATCACATCACACATAACAAGGACTACAATTAGATATCAAGAAACTAAGTCTGAAGTAACCTGAAAAATAAGTTTATTTATAAGTCAATCACATATTAAGTATGGGAAATCAAAGTAAACCTGCTGCCAGGGGCAAAAAAAAACCCACAATCATCTGTATCAAGCAAACTATTTCCTATACACAGAACCATACAAACAGCCTTTGCCCATTTTACCAGCTTTGAATGGGTCTGTGCATCCCTCCACCACATCTATTCAAAATGGAATGAAGACACAAAAAAACAAATAGCTTCATTAAGGCTGCTATGTAAAAAATTAGCTAGGTATTTCAAGGACGAAAAGAAAAAAATTACGACAGGAGCCTCTAAAGCCAAGGACAAACAAGTGGGGGAAAAGTTCTAGAAAAGGCTGAAAAACTTCTGTAAATTTAAGGGAAAAAAAAAAAAGAAAAAAGAAGACATCCCTTTTGCTCTACTGGATAGATGAGAACAGGGCTTGACTGCGCCCCAAATGCATCTAAAGCCATAAAACACTTCAGCATTTTAAGGTCACTTCCAGGCAAAGTTCCCCCCGGGGAAGCACAATCGCCTGCTGACTGCAGGGCACCTGCCAGCCCCGCCCGCTCCTCACAAACCCTCGCACCAAACACATTGCAGCCCATTCTCACATTTTCATGGCAGGATGAAAACCTACATCTTTACTGGCTACACGTAGGTGTCTAAATCTCCAACCCCATTCACGAGCTCGCAAGAGAAAGGATGCCTAGAGCAACGCGTTCACAAAACAATTCATTTAGATTAAATGCCGATGATAACACAAAGGTAAGTAGCAGCCAAAGCTTGAATTCAGGATGTTCCAGCCCGGGGAAGGTTGTACGTGCGACTCCAGCCAGACCATGAAGGTACCAAAAGCACTTTTCAGCTGAGACCGAGTAAGGCTGTTAAGAGCACAAGTTAAACTTCATGGCGGGACTTTGTGATTTACTAGAACTTCTCTCAACACACTGGTCCCAAAATACCTACAGCTGGCAGCCTTTCCACACTCTAGCATAAAAAATTACATATAAAAATAGCTGAATTTAAGAGATTAGCACGGTTCTGCATCCCTCAGGCCCCACAAGCCCCCTGGCCGGCACGGGCGCGCCTTGGCTGAGGAGGAATGACGACCCCCGGCCCCCATCGAGCGCGGCTTAAGCGCTCCTTCCGCCACGCGCGTGTGAGGCTGAGGGTGCTCCCGGCCTAGGGGCCGGCTCAGCCTGCAGCGGATTTCGATCCAGCACCGAGTCCTACCGAGAAAGCGGAGCAGAAGCAGATCTGGCCCTTCCGCTCCTCACGGCCCTCCCTCCTTCCCGCCCGCCGCGGCTCCTCTCACCGCCGCCTCGCTCACTCCCGCCACCGCTGCCGCCCCGCGCGCGCCGCTGCCCCACCTCCTGCGCATGCGCCGTGGCCACGGCGGGTCCGCCTGGGGCGGGGCGGGGCGGGGCGGCCGTGAGGGGAATTCAGCGCTTCCCCTGCCGGGTGTCCCGCAGGATATTTTATGTTATCCTGTTGGGATGCTCTGCCGCTCACCCAACCGGCTATCCCACAGTATATCTTATGTTATCCCACCGGGAGAGCCGCCGGGCACCGTGCCGCTGCGGGAGCCCCAGGGCTGAGCCATTTCTCCCATAGGGACAGGCACGAGGGTGTTGCAAAATGGGAGACATGTAAACTTAAGAAGGGATGTTCTTTGATCTTTGCGTACTTTGAAATCCAATCAACAGGAAGGGAGAATTAATCCGTGAAAGTCTAACAAGCTCTAAGCGGTGACCAGGTGTTAGAAAGACGAGTTACTTGGTAGAATTGCCGTGTTAAGGTCCAGGGCTGGCCATGTCCCATGATCTCAGACCTCGGGGGAGCTTTACAAGGCTTGGGAAGAAGGATGCTTGTGGACACAAAGGATGCGGAGTTTACGGGCCTCGAGGACAGTTGGCAGAACACCCGAGATAAGCAAAAACTTTTAAAAGCCAAATAAATCAGCTAAATCAGCTCTGACTGGGTAAAATGTAATTCCAGCAGGGGCAGATGGTGACCATGAAGCCGAGAAATCCCCAGACTCAAAAGAAGAGAAAGTTTGAACATGCGGACTAATTAGCATGAGAAGCGAATCATTAGCTAATGAATACCAATTAATAAGAGAACTGTAACTTGTAGGAAATGAACACTAACTCCATTGTTTGCTAAAATGTATAAATAGTAAAAACTTTTGATAATTGGGGTGTTTGATCTCTGGAATATCACCAAGTTCTCGGGCTTGTGCAACTCAGAAATAAATAATCAATGTCTCTCCTGAGTGTATAATTATTGGCTTGTTGCAGGTAACAAATCTGATTTTTGTGGACAAGTGGAGCCCGGCTTACATATATAAAGTGTACATAACTTACGTCTATCCATACACAAAACTGCTTCAAGCCAGGTCTCTGGAGCCTCTGCTCCAGTCATGCTCTGAAAATACATAACCATAGGTTCAAATTACAGCTGAAGTTATATTATGCATAAGCAGTGCACACTGTATTAGAGGGATAAATGTGACAACTGTATGCTGGGTTATGAAAGCTAAAGTGATAAACTCCTTCTGTACTCAGAGTTGGGTGCAATGTTAAATAAGTAAATAAGACTTATTTGAATCAAGCATGGCTTATTTTTAGCAGTCAGGATTTTTTGTAAATATGCATATCCATGCACAATCATCATGGCTTGGCCTGAACAGTATTTCAGATTTTTAGATATGTGTTGTAAAATTATAGACTGAAATCAACCTGAATGGAATTACATAAGAGAAGCAAACCCCCCCCCCTGATTTATGGTTATCTGTACCATATATCTATATGTATAGATTTATGGTTATCTGTACCATATATCTATATATATAGATACCATATATCTTTACCATATTTGTGTAAAGTCTTGGTTTTTGGTTGGCTTTTTTTTTTTAATGGCCTGCTATTTATCAGTTTTCATAAAGCATAATAATATGGTGAAATTATTGTTACTGCTACTGAATTTGTATATATGTTTATAAAAGTTGTTGTATTACTAGTTCAGTCCACTTCTTGACTTGTGATAAAATCTTTATTTGGAACAATAGGTATGTTTTAAACTGTCATATCAAGGCCTATGCTTCCCAACAGAGTGAAATACTTTTTTTTCCAGCTTTTGAAACCATGGAATCCATTGGGGCAGATTGCTCTGCATACAGATGGACCATGTTTCAGAAAAAAATTCCAAATATAATAACTGAAAGAAGTCTCAGTGGGTCCACATTTGTATAGTGTATGTGGGAGATGAAATTAAATACTTTGGAAGCAGTTCTTAGTGATGTTTAGAACTTGCATCTTCTATGGATGACTGCTGAGCAAATCTGAAATTTGGTTTGGAGCTGAGCAGGAATCCTAAAACAGGAGGTCAGTTTTTAAACATGTGGTTTTCAATTCAGAAGTTCTGTTGGAGAATCAATGGTTCAGGCTGGAGTGCCTCCCAAGGTCACTTCAACACAACATAAATCCATTTTACCTCACAAAGGAGAGTCCCTCTCTGCCTGCTGTGTCCCCACTTCCACTCATTTTCTGGTCTGGGGACTGGGGTGGTTTAAGAAGAGAGATTGTTGAGGGAACCAGTCCAGTTGAAATAAACCCTAAAGATACTTCAGTGATTACAGCCTCACTTCCAAAAGCCTGCTTATTAACTGGATGGGACCTCCACTCCTGTCCTGTTTAGCTTCTAGTCTGCAGTTCAAACAAAATGCCCAGTAACAATTCTGCTTATTAATCCAGAGTGCCACCATTATTACTATGAGGTAAAACTAAAAAAAAAAAAAAAATTCTGTGTAGCTTTAATAGTTTAAAATCATTGAGAATATTGTTATTGATTGAAATGGCGGGACTATAATGCTGTTTTTGTAGGACTTACCTGAAGTAACTACCACAGAATCCTGGACTCTTAAACCTGCAAATTAAAAGCTATCACAGAAGACCACTGAACAGTTCTGTCATTTACTTGGCCATATCTCTGTCCATATATTCCTACAGAAATCTCTACTTCCCAGAAAAAATGCTTAAATTCGAGAGGCCAAAACTGTTTAGTAGCACTTGCTGGAGATAGACTTCATGCCTAAGTATAGGTGGTTATGTGTAGCATAATGAATTTCAGATTAGATCTTTCATCAACACAGTTTTCACTAATGTCACTCAATATGCATTTCTGAATAGCTTTAAATTATTTCTTGATTTATACTAAGCTGTCACATGTCTTTTTATCCTATTCTGATTATGGGTTGCTTAGATACCAAATATAAAATGAAGCAAACAGTAAACTGAGGCTTGAAATTTGCATGTAACAGAGTGGGACATAGACCTTTCTCACTATATTTGTGGTCTGGTATTTTATATTGACACTTTTTTTCTTTGTGATGCCTATTTTCAGTACAGGTAGTGATTAATTTTGATTCAGGTTTTTGCATCCACAGTTCCAGTTCAGCAGCAAACTTTAAATATAGAATATTCACCCATTTGGTCCAAATCACTGGGATTCCTCAGTTCTTAAACTCATTTAAGTGCATTACAGGATTATATTCTTTAGGTATGTCTTTCTATATATCTAAATGGAACCATGTATAGAACACATACATATTTATCTAGGTTATGAATTTATGTAGAGCTATACAGAGGGAATTATGTACATAGAATATGTGCAGTATTTTTTTTTTTATTTCTCCCTTTCTTTCCAAGATACATTTTACCAGAGGTGCCATTGTGTAGGGTGCTATTGAGACTGCATCCAGATTATTTTTTAGCAGCCTCTTCCTATTCCAAAAAGTCAATTGCAGCTGACAAAGGTGCAGAAAAGCACTTTGACAAAGAGCAGGAAGAAATTACTACTTTGGAAAGATGTTCACTTGAAAGCACCATTGAGATGGTTTAAGAAATGACTGCTGCCACATTTCCTGCCTTGTTGGATGATACAGCTCTTTCAACAGAGCAAGTGGAAAGGATAGTGTCATTATCTACCTCTACACAAATCATCCACTTAAATTCCCAGGTAAAGATTATTTAAAATGTGTACGGGGTGATTTTTCTTCAAAATGGATGATATTTCTCAAGTGGCTTATCTCCTCATTGTCCTGATAATGAAACAAGAAAGTTCAGGGGCTTTGTAAAAGCAGATTTGGATGAAAGGGCTTTGAGTTACATAGGAGAAATAGTCCCTGGAGACAGTTCTGTGGGCTGTGAATAGCAGGAGCACAGGATATTCCCTCCACATCTTTTGCTGACTCCCAGTCATCCCATGTCAGTGCCAAGGGGTAATGCCAGTGGTGACCTGGCACTGCTCACAGCCAGCAGGGGTTCTCTTCCACCAGCACTTGGCAGCAGGATCAGAAACTGAGATTTGATCCATAATTTCTCATTAAGTTTGCTAAAGATAGACAATGATGAATGTTTAACAATCTAATCGTTAGTGATTATAATCACCAACAGTGGATTTTCAAGGAATTAGGAGTAATTAGGCTCTCATTTATAACTCATTATTATGAAAAACAGTAATTCTATGGATTAAATACTCCCGTAGTATCTAATGCAGAGGATTTTGCAGACAGAAATATATGATGAACAATCTAGAGTTTGAGATCTCCAAATGAGATCTGACAAAAATATCACCACAGGCAATTACTGCTAAATTTCAGCTGGTTGCTTAGACAAATCTATTGCGCAGTATCATAACAGTTTACTTAGAATTTAGGCCTCAAGGGAAGCAATCTGTTAAAGGTGAAGAAGAGAAAATAAATACCTTTCCTCAAGCTGCCAATAAACAAAGTCAATTCATTCTGGAGGTATCTTAATTTTTAGTTACATTTCCATTCATTCTAGGCATGTTTGTTTTCCAGATTATTTTTCTGGGGAAATTATGTTCTACCACCAACATCCTCAGTTAAATCAATGTATTAACTAGTATGCTTATTTCTCTAAGAAGGTACATAGAGGATCACAGGAATGTACTTATTCCTTACAGAGAATATTTATCAGGAGTGTATCAGTTTTGAATACAAAACTGCTGAGGTTTGATAAGTTATTTTATATTCTTTATAAATCAGAAGGCCAAGAAAGGTGAATGTCATTGTAGGTATGTAACCAAAACATGTTACTTATCATTATATATTTAGAATATGAAAGTTGTTCCAAAGAGATGTCTTTTCTAGTCAGGTTAGTTCTACCTGGAAATTCTTGACTTACTTGCCTACATGCCTGGACATAGACTGAATTTGTTAGACGTGTGAGTTTGGACTCAATGAATTTGCAATAACTGGCATTTGTTTGTAGATCCCACTGTGAACTGAAATAGAACTGATCTTCTTTTCATCTGTACTAAATTCCCCATAGTCC